TTTGTTTACCCTTCACATCCCTTCCCAGCCTCCCCCCTCCCCCCCATCCCAATCCTTCTCCTTTCCCCCCTTCCCCCCCCGATAAATAGCTTTTTGTTATTTGATATTTCTTCATATTTGAAATTTGTTGTTGCATTTCATTGTAGCTGTACCTTTATTTCAATACCCTTTTTTATTGTGGTAATTGTAACATTTTTTTTTTAGCAAGGTAATATCATATTCTTGGAGGTTTTTAATGTATATTTTATTATCCAGTCATGTTAAAAGTAAAAATGATCTATGTAACTTAAAAAATAACAGCTAATATTATTAGGCAAGGCTAATTACTAGGATTAGGGGTACAGCTCAGTTTCTCTAAGTTTACCTGAAGCTCTGGATTCAGTCCCCAGTGTTATAGAAACACATGCATGTGCATGCATGCATGTACATACACCTACAGCTACGTAAAAGACTTTAATAGGCAAGAGCACCAAGCAGAATATGTGATTTAAAAATTTAATAACTGTGTCTTTTCCCCAGACTCGTTCTTTGCAAAAGTCAGATATATTCTGTAAAATGAAAGCTGTGAAGTTCTTTGTTCTGGGAACTTCCTTTTGAGATGTGCATTGATAGCACTTGTAGCTCAGGAGAAATTTCTCCCATGCAGTTGTTCCATAGTGTTGATGGTTTCCCCTCTGCCTTCAAGGTTCGTGTTTTATTAGGACGGACCAGCTAGATGGTGAGACCGACTGGAAGCTGAAGGTGGCAGTGAGCTGCACTCAACGGCTGCCGGCGCTGGGGGTGAGCATTCTCAAGATGGTGCGACATTTTATTCTTTAACAGCAGCATCTGTGTGGTAGGGATGCTTCTGTTGACACCTGGTAACTTATTTATGTATTGAAGATATGCTGTATCATTTTTATTCCTTAGGAAAAGTGATGCCAAAATAACTTAGGTGTTTCCCAGCTCATAATCTGTTTTAGGTACTTTTGAATGTTCCTGGCCACTTGATAACTTTCTCGAAGTGGGGGGAGATTGGATGACTCAACCCCCTGTTGCTAGCTGATTTACTCCCTCGCTTTGTGGAATACGGCAGCCGTTCTTGCCCTAATGTAGCCACTAAGGTATTGGTTTGCGAAGAGTTGGAGCCAGGTTTGCTCCTGGGTCTAACTCACCCTCCCCTTCCATTCCCTGCTGCAAGTCCATTTGGTGTTTACCTTGTATTCATTTACATGTAATGGTGATCTCAATGTGAAAAACTTTGTCTTGTATGATATTCTGGCATTTTGTGAATGGTAAAGGAAGACAGATTGTCTAAGAGTATTGTTTGCCCAAGCAGTGTTGGTCAAGGGAAGGAAGGTGAGTACTCACAGATGAGTGGCTCTGTTTCATCTGGTTGTGTTAGGGCAGGACTGGCTGCCCTATTGCACACAGGCTGTACTTATCAAGGCCGGTAGGACGTTCTTCTTTGTGCTAGACTTTTTGGAAATGAAGTATATTTGGCATGGTGAGGACGTGGGGGTGGTTTGTTTATTCAGGCGTTTTAGTGTGGCCCATATTTCAGGTAGTTCCTGAGTTAGAATTTATTACCTGTGTGTTTTGTATCTTTGTTAAGTAGGTGTTCTAACCATTGAGCCACACACATACACCCAACCCTTTTTGCTCTGGTTGTTTTTGAGATAGGGTCTGGAATTTATGCTTGGGGAACCTAGACCACTATCCTCCTATTTATTTATGCTTTCTGCATAGCTGGATGACAGGTGAGTACTGTAATGGTAGCTTTTTATTTTGTTCCTCACCCTTGCTATTTCTTGTTGGTGTTTACTGCTTGAAAATAATATGTAGATATGTATATAGTATAAAACCAGATATATGCAAATATGCAGCCCACTTTCAGTTTTTCCTGTCCTGGACACAGAAATATTCTTCTCTTCGTGAGTGTGTGTGTGTGTGTGTGTGTACGTACACTTAGGAGATACTTTGCTAGCCTGGGGGTTACACTCAGGGCCTTGCTCATGCTAGGCAAGTGCTCTATACTGAGCCACATCCTAGCCTATTCTGTATACATCTCCTGTGGACATTATGTCACCCTCTGTCCCCAGGTCAGAAATTTATTTTGGAAATTGTTTGAGCCACCAGCACCCTGCTAGCTTGATCTTCTTAAGTCTTGTTCTTAAATTTTGTTGGAGTGAGTCAAAGTCCTGTGTACTTTCACACTTACTTAGTCTTACTGCTAGGGAGGGCCGGCCTCCCTGGCACTTTGGCAATCCATTACACCCCTTTAAAGGTTCCTCTCAACTCTGACTAGTCAAAACAGCAAGGCATGGTGGTATATGCCTATATCCTCTGATACTCAGCAAGTAGGAGGAGCAGTGTTTGAGGCCAGCCCAGGCAAGAAGTTAGTGAGATCCCCATCTCAACAGACAACATTAAGTGTGTTTCTGTGCGACTGTGATCGATATTAGCAGCACCAGGAGACAAAGGTAGGAGATGGTCCAGAGCACGTCTGAGGCAAAAACATGAGACCCTATCTGAAAAATCATGTCCAAAAAAGGTCTTGTGGGGTCTTAGCAAGCCCAAGTCATTGAGTTTAAGCCTCATTACTGCCAAAACCCCAAATACAATGGAATCCTGTTCCCTTCCTAATTCTGCAACCTCTGGGCCTTCAGCCTCTGTAGCCCAGGGCAAAGGCAGGTATAGTGTTGGCATCACAAACAGATGCTAGTTGAGCCCTCTGGATTTCTGCAGATTTTTATCTCCTTAGCTTTTTCCTAGCATCTACAAATTTAGCAGGCCAGTTTCCATGAGCTCTGGTCTCTGTCTCCTGAACTCAGAGCATGTGTCTCTCTCCTGTCTGTAAGGTGTTCATCTTGATGTAAGAATGGCCAGGGTGGTCACACAGCTATTTGTGGGCTCTGTGGTTGCAGAGTTGCTGTTACTGTGTGTTGTCCTTTGCGAGAGGGCAAGTATCATATTAGTTAATAAAACATTGCTTGTAGAATTTCTTGATTAAGTTTTAATGAGCAACAACTGCCTATTGACTAAACAAGTTACATGACGGTTCTAATTTTAACTAAAATTAAAACAACTGTTTGTTTCGTGAGGATACTTCCGACTGGAAGGCTGGAGTTGACCAGGTTAATGTTTTCTTCTCCTAGCAGAGCACATTAGCCCTAATCTCGTCTTCCCTCAGACACTTTTCAGTCCTCTCTCTTAGATTGCATTCCTTGTAAAGGAAGTATAGGGTAATTTTTCATTACTCATAACAGAAGAGAGCCCCTCATAATTTACCCCTCACCTCTGGCTGCCATTCACATGTGATCCACCGTGTCCTGGCGCTGCATCACCCTTCCCTCCCCTGGCTTCTCCCTACATGCTTGTCCTGTGAGACAGTGCCTATATGCTCTTTTCTCTAGAGGGTATTTATTGCTGTATGTTTCATGAAAGATTTTGGTAGTTTTTGTTTCATATTGCTTCCTTGAGACTGTCTTGTTATATAGCCCAGGCTACCAATGAAGTCACCATTTTCCTGCCTCCAGGCATTCTGGGGATTTGAGACAGGCCACTACACATGACAGGTTTACACGTTCTTCTGTAGATTTTCATAGTAGTAGCTCGGCATATTTATGTAATAGGACCTACAATTATTTTAAAGTGGTTTCAAAATGGCTCTGAATTTTATTGTGGACGTACACAAGACTGGGGAAAGCACAGATCCCAGGCACTGCTTGCGGGGTGGAGGGAGGGCACGAATCCAGGCACTGCAGTGCGGGGGGGGGGGGGAGTGGCAGCACTGACCACAGACACTGACGTGAGGAGCACTGACCACAGACACTGACGTGGGGAGGCAGTGATCACAGACACTGACGTGGGGAGCACTGACCACAGACACTGACGTGGGCAGCACTGATCACAGACACTGACGTGGGCAGCACTGA